ATTTCATATTTATTTGTGGAGTGCTTAAAGGGAACTTTTAAAATAATACAAACTTTGAGGCTCTTAATTCCAAAAGGGTTATGATCTTGGTGAGATTACCAAATTGCAAAGCTCAGAGAAAAGGAGCATATAATTCTACATTAATTTTAAAAACTTGTTTTTATAATTGAGAAGCATCTAATCAAGTGTATATGTTATAATTCAGTTTCCATGTAGAAACGAGTAAATATATTTCTAGTTAATTTGTTTTATAAATGAACCTATTTTCGAGGCCACTTTGTGACTAAGTAAAACATTTCACTTCTTTACTCCTCATTTTATTTTTTAAAGTGAAAGGAGCAGGACCAGATAATTTAAGTTTCCTTTTAAAAGGGTCTAACAATCTCCTGCATACCCCCTAGTAGGCATCAAGCCTACAATCCAGGCTTATGCCCTGTCCAGGAATCTGTGACCTCCTGGTTTATATGGGTCGATGCTCAACCTCTGAGCTATACTAGCTGGGCATACAGTTTTAACTTTCAAATATTAAATCCAAGTGACCAGATGGGAAATGGAATGTTTTCATGACTGAATGTATATGGAAATGTTTTAAAACTTCATGTTTCCTAATAAAATACAGAACAAGTTATAAGTAGATAAGGAATCTTCCATTTAAACACAGGACCTATTAGTAAAAATAAGCATAAGTAATTTATATAAAAGTTTTCCCTAAAAAATTAATTTTGTACATTTTACCTTCTAAAGTAAGTATAAAATAAGATGTAAAAAAAAAACTTTAGGGCCAAAAAATATTTTATAACCCAGTCTTAATAACTTTGTAATCTATTACCTATAGCGCTATAGTAATAAATAAATGTAGTTTTAGGAAAATAATTTTAAGTACTCCATAATTTAATTATGGGGTCAGTTTATGATTTGAAAATATGAGCTTTGTCAAAATTAATATAAAGAGCAGTTGTAATTGATCTTTTATTAGCATTGATACCATTCAACTTCACTATTTTGTTGTTATTAGGACTACTACATGAACAAAATATGGCAAAAATGAGACTACTTACTTTTATGGGAATGGCAGTGGAAAATAAAGAAATTTCTTTTGATACAATGCAACAGGAACTTCAGATTGGAGCTGATGATGTTGAAGCATTTGTTATTGATGGTAAGGCAATTAGAACTTTTTTTTTCTATTTGTATTTTACCTATGCAGTATGAGATTTTTGATCTTGAAGCTGAGCCATATGCTAACAAAGCTAGATTCTTTTGTAACAAATGTGGATGTTTAGATTAGCAGATTATAATTGTTGTAGAGTGAAAATTCAATGGAAATATAAATTGCTATGTGGTTTTTGGAGTTCGTTCTATTTCTTAAAATCATAGAACAAAAGCCTTTAGGTGGTATACCATAGTGTGGTTAAGAGCTTAGATTTTTTTATATCAGACCTGGGTTTGAGACCAAGTCTTCCTTCCTCTATGGAATAGGAATATAGGGGTAATTTGTAGTTGAGAAGATTAATGAATTAATGTAGGTAAAGCACTTAGCCCAGTGCCTGGCATGTATTAAATGTCCTGCAGATGTTAACCATTATCAGTTTTTTATGATTGGCCTAGAAACAGGACCTTCTTCCTCAAATGGGTATTATAAAGTCACTTCACAGGATTTTTTTTTCCTGAGTCTTTTAAATTTCTAAGTTTGGGGACTTGTACAATTAATAAAATAAACAATTATTCACATAACTTCTAATGCTCTAATTCTTAAACATATAAAGACATATCTAATTAGGAAATCTTCCCCTCCAACTCCCTAAGGTGTGATTGTAGAGGAGAACATCTAGAATTCTTAATGAAAACTGGGGGAGGGGAGGCATGAGGGAGGCAGCTGATCAGTGTTGTGTTCTCATATCGATATTTCTCTCTAAAATAAATAAAACATATATATGTATTAAAAAGAACACTATATGATATTTGGTATGGGTTAGCCCAGCAACTGTAGGATAAATAAATGCATGACTTCCTTCTTAGTTGCATCATATTGCTGTGTTTATTAGATTCAAAGAGCCAGCTTGTAAAATTATATTAGAAAACTGTCAAATTTTATTATGTCTTGCTTGGTCATAGTTTCATACCTCAAACTTTTTCTTATGCATTTTCCATATAACATGTCATGTAAAATGTCTTTTTTTCAGCCGTGAAAACAAAAATGGTCTACTGCAAAATTGATCAGACCCAGAGAAAAGTAGTTGTCAGGTAAGACACTTAATACTTGCAGCATTTTGTAGAACAATTTTGTTTGTTCTGATTATTTCACTTAAATGTTTAGAGAACTAAGGCGATGTTCTTATCAATTGACTGTAGTTAAATAGTTGCTATTTATCATAATTTTATTAAAGTTCAAACTGAATTGATTAGCTTATTTAATGAAAGTCCTATTTTCCAGCACATTTCATTTAATGGCTCAGCATTGGCTAGAATACTAATGACTTTTTGTCTGTTTTATGAAGTTTAGGAAAATAGAAGGTTCAGGATCAATATGATAAAGATTTTTTTTTAATAAGCTGCTAATTCTCTTAAAAGTTGAAATTGTCTTTAATGTATATTTAACCTTGCTTTTGACTAGATACAAGTAAGTAGTATTGTAAAAAATACAAGATAAAAGGTTGACTAATGACTTTTAATTTTTCAGTCATAGCACACATCGGACATTTGGAAAACAACAATGGCAGCAACTGTATGACACACTTAATGCCTGGAAACAAAACTTGAACAAAGTGAAAAACAGCCTTTTGAGTCTTTCCGATACCTGAATTTTTATGCTATAAATATTTTTCTTTTGGGGAAACATCTAAATGATAGTAAAATCTTTTAAGCTGAAATCTGACAACAGTCTGAACGTTTATTGTCTCAAATTCAAAAGAAATTACAATCTTCAGAGGATACAATGTAATAAATTATGAAGGGTCTCACTGTGTGTATCTTGTGTAATATATAAGTTGTGTTCTGTAAGGATCTTAAAGGTGCAACAGGAGCTTTGATGAAAGATATGCAGGAAAGACCAATTTAAGGGGAATTAGATGCTAACAGCAAACTTTGCAATCTCAGCTATCTTAACTGAAGCATTTTATGGGCAAAAACATAAGCAGTAATACAACTTCATTACATCAGAAAAAAATTGAAAAAGTACATCTGTAAAGCTTTAGATGTAACAGTCATATTTTGCTCTAATGGAAACCACATCAGTACTCTTAATTCACCACTGAAAGTATTAATCTGTTTTTGTCAACATCTCTTCTGCTTTTCTTTTTTTAGATTGGTTGTCATTTTCTAAGCTTAGGAACTTTTCACTTTCTTTTATTTGATTTGTTACCAGGTTCTGCCGGCCACCTTCACCAAAAGAAGACACAGTTAAATCAGCAGTATCTTTAATCTTGAGAGCCTGAAAATGGCTTTGTAGATTTGATTTCAGAGACTCTGTTTTCACCTAGGAAAGACCAAACTTGTTTTACTGCTTAAGTTATTACTCATTTTCTAAAAACTCATCAACAAATAAGTTTAAAGAATATCCTTAAACTTTTGCAATTATGAGCATGTGATAAAGCCACCATTTTCTTGGCCTTTTTCCAACTATTACCTTTTGGCACCAAGAATTATAAAATAAGAATTTATGTAGGCTTATGTACTAGCTTTTCAAGATCTGTTAATATAGTCCAGGAATACCACAAACATTTTCTAAAAGGTCTTGAGCTTACATTGAAAGAAAAGATACTTAAAACAGACAGATAAAAATCTGTTTTGTCTTCTACTCCTTTCCTTTCCCAAACATGTCTATGTTTTGTATTTTCTATCAAAACAAGGGTAAATTGAAAAATGCTAACAGAAGTAAACTGCCATTTAAAAACTGCCTTTTCATGTTTCCTCTCATGTTTCAGAGCACTATTTTTGGAGACACAGGAAAGAACAACGCAGTTTTTGGAAGTTGGCACGTTTTCCAAAGCACTACATTGGGTCACAATATTGTGCTAAAAATGTTGTTCATTTCTATTTTTCCCCCTGATAATAAAATACTGGAAATTTGGAAAATAGATAAAAGTATAAAGTAACTAAAAATCAGTAGCAAACCACTATTCAGAGATTTAACAACATTTTGGTACTATTTGCTCTAGACTTTTTTTCTTCTATTTTTAGTATAATAGATCAATAATTTTCTAGAATTTTATATCTTTGCTTTTTCCATTGAGCTGCTTTCCTAGGTCTGTGGTCGGCAAACTGCGACTCGCTAGCCATATGCAGCTCTTTAGCCCGTTGAGTGTGTCTCTTCCACAAAACACCCCGGCCTGGGCGAGTTTATTTTGAAGAAGTGGCGTTAGAAGAAGTTTAACTTTAAAAAATTTGTCTCTCAAAAGGAATTTCAATCATTGTACTGTTGATATTTGGCTCTGTTGACTAATGAGTTTGCCGACCACTGTCTAAGGTCATTAAAATTTCTCCTAAACTATTGTCAGGGGCTGCAAAATATTCCCTTTAATGCACGAGTTATAATTTATCTCTTAATTATTTGTTTGAACTTACCCCTATCAAATAAATTTGAGTTAATTTCTTGAAAATAAAACAAACCTTTGAAGGTCTTGGATTACTAGATAAAACTGTTAAAGGGAATGTTATAATAATTTAGAAATAGGGTAAGAACTACATTAAAATTATCCAAGATTTCAACCACCATTAAACAGTACACTATTTAAAATTTTGAATCACACATTTTCCAAACTGTATTAAAAACATTTTTACCATTTCCCTTTATTAAAGTCTTTTAGGAACATGGCTCCATTTTATTCCATGTTCCATAATCTATACCAGTGGTAAGCAAACTCATTAGTCAACAGGCAGATATCAGCAGTCCAATGATTGAAATTTCTTTTGAGAGCCAAATTTTTAAACTTAACCTATATAGGTAGGTACATTGTTATTAACTTAATTAGGGTACTCCTAAGCAGGCTTTTGCTACAATAAAAACTCAAGGGGCCAAAGAGCCGCGTGTGACTCACGAAGTCCAGTTTGCCGACCACTGATCTGTACTAATAAGAGGGTAATATGCTAACTAAACCAGACATCATCTGGATGACTTTCTGGCCAAAGCCATGGTGGCAGGGCTAAAGCAGAGGTGGTTAGGAGTGATCAGGCTGGCAGGTGAGAGCAGTTAGGGTGATGAGGCTGGCAGGGAGAGCTGTTGGGATTGCAAGAGGGATGTCTGACTACCTGGGAAGGGGCCTAAACCAGCAGTTGGACATCCCCCCTAGGAGTCCTGAATTGAGGCAATGTAAGATTACATAGTAATTTTTTATAGGCTCTTAACTGTTCACATTTAATCTCACTTTCCTATGAACTGCTCTTGGTCCTGAGGAATTCAGCCACCTGTCCTCTCAAAGTCCTAGCCTCTGATCCTTATGATGATACTGTATTCATATGATGTTCTTATAAAATAACAGAGATGAAAAAGTATTTGCAAAGATTGCCAGGACAATAAGCAAGTTAAACTTTTGTGAGCCTTAGTTTTCTCATCAGCTCCTTTTAGATATAAAATGCTATTGTAAAAAGTAACTGATAGCCTGGCTGGTATGACATGGAGCGATGTCCTATACACCAAAAGGTCACGGGGTTCGATTCCCAGTCAGGGTGGGTACTCAGGAGTTGATTGATGGCTTTTGATTTAATGGTCCTGTTTTGCCATCAAAATACTGAATGCATTTTGGTACATTTGACAAAGTGCAAATCAGCCCATTTCCCAAAATTCTGATTCTTTGACTTTTTATCTTGATGATGGGAAGGAGAGAGACATTTACACATATCTGCTTTAATTTCTTCCCCTAAAACTAGCTACTTGGTGGGAGGGGCAGAGGCAGGGAATGCCTGTAGAGAGAATCAAGATTTTAACAAAATTTGTCTTAGCTTAACTAGGGTTTTTCAGCCTATAGCAATAATTCTAGTTTTAGAAGTAGCCACATATCATTGTTCTTTCCTATCTCCTTTTAAAAATACTTCCTCTTTCTGTCTGACTCAAAGATCTGGTTGTATTTTAAAATTTAACTTCACTAAACCTAATTCACTGTATAAAATGAATTGTTTACACTGGCCCCTATTTCCCATCATTCCTAGGTATGACCAAGATTGCCACAGGCTACTAACCTAACCTCTCCAAGTACCAAAAAGGGGATTAGCTCATAATATATACCGAAAATTTTACAGGGTTGGTGTGGCTAGAGGGCATAAGAATATGAAGAATATGAATAACTTATTCCTTTCTGGCTATAAGAATTCATAAAATTAGTCTTCATTTATTTTAGAACAACGATAAGCAAACTTTTTCTATAAAGAGCCAGAAAAAAATATTTTTGGCTTTGTGGGATAGTGACCTCCCTCACAACTGCTTAATTGGCCTTGCTACACAGAAGCAGCCAAAAACAATAGTTAATGGGTGTGGCTGTGCTCTAATAAAATTGTACTTAAATGAAGGGGTGGGGGCTGCATTTGGCCCACCAGTTGTCACCTGACAGCCCTATTTAGAAAAGTGTAAAATATTAAGGAGCAAGTAAACAGGCTTTATAAAGAGACTAGATTTGTCTGGTTTAATGCAAGGATAATAGCATTTTCAGTAGTCTAGGCCAGTGGTCTGCAAATTCATTAGTCAACAGCCAAATAGCAACAGTACAATTATTGAAATTTTTGAGAGCCAAATTTTTTAAACTTAAACTATATAGTTAGGTACATTGTTTTTAACTTAATTAGGGTACTCTTAAGCTGGCCTTTGCTAAAAACTCAAGGGGCCAACGAGCTGCAGTTTGCTGACCACTGGTCTAGGCAAAAGAATAGGTCTGCTTTTAAATGTGTCCCACATTAGATCTTGACAGGTAGTGTCTCAGTGCTTTGGAATTATTTCACATTTGTGTCACTACTTCCTCATTTGTAAAATAGATGTGCCTTACAGCACTGTTGTGGGAATATTTTTTTGAAAAAGTTTTAATTCTATAAATTCTTAAAAACATTAATTGCAAGAAAAGCATTAGGATTAGACAAAGAATAGAACTACTGGGTTAATTAGAAAAATGGGCTTGAAAGGGAGACATCATACCTTTGAAAAGAGGACAATTATAATAAACTAGGGGCACGAATTTCGTGCACTGGGGGGAGAGGTCCCTCAGGCCAGCCTGCCCCCTCTCACATACTGAGAGCCCTCAGGGGATGTCCTACTGATGGCTTAGGCCTGCTCCCTAATGGGAGCGGACCTAAGCCACAGTCTGGCCTCCTTCTGCAGCAGGCGACCAGGCTGATCAGAGGAAGGCGCCAGCTCCATCACCACTGCCAGTCACCACAGTGGCAAAGGTATTTTCATCAACACAGATTCTAGTCCCTTCACCATGAAAAAATGACAGCTTTCTTTAGGCATTTTCAAGATGTGTCTTTCATAGGATATGACATTTCTTTTTCTTTTTATCCTCACCTGAGGATATGTTTCCATTGATTTTTTCCCCCCCTTCCCTCTGATTGTAGGCTCGGCCCCTTCCCAAGCCATCTTTGTTGGGTTAATTTGCATACTCACTCTGATTGGCTGTGGGCTTGGTGGAGGTACGGTCAATTATTGGGTAAGATGTTAAGTATTCAACCTAATTAGAAATTGGTATCTAGCTTTTACTTTTTGCTTTAATTTCACCAACTTACCTGTCATTTCCCAATGACAGATTGATCATATTTTAAAGATACACACTTGTATACATCAAGCCGAAATTATTTCTGCTATCAGGATGGTGAGAAGATGAATCCTGATTTTAGTTTTAACCCTCCCAGAATAAAAGTTTATACTACCTCAGTGGGGGTCTCTCATACTTAAAAAGGGAAAGGAAATTTATTATGAAAACCTGTTATATGTTAAGGCATTAATACTGTAATTTTCACCTTCGATGTTTTGAAGAGAAAGTTTTTTATTGTGCATCTGTAAAACTTAAAACAATATAGTAGCTTTAAAAGCTCACTATGCAATTATTTAAATAAGTAACCTTTCCTAACATTTATAGATTATCTTTTAGCAGTTATACCTATAATTGTTTTTTTTAGACTTTGAAAAACATAGCCTTTTTTGTACTAAAGTTTTGTACACCAAGATAAGCAACTTATAAATTTTACCAAAAAAACTGTCTCTTGTAATTAGTTGCTTTTCGTATGACAAATAGACTCTGGAGCCATATAATCTCTACAAATCTTTTGTTGAATATTTACATTCATACTTGATATATATTGGACATTTGATCCTTTCATATTCCGTGTTCTAACTGAAATAATTTAAAATAAACTTCTTCCTTCACAGCAGTTTCCCAAATGTAAGTAACAGTAAGCCCTAGCTGAATTTATTCACTGATTATTTAAGCATGTTTAATTAGAATAAAATTTTAAATGCTCAAACTGTAAACAGTTGTATTTTAAGTTTAAATAAATGTGCCAGTGCCAATATTCCTAAGTTTAGGTGACTAAAATATAGAAGTACCATAATACAATACCTCACACTCTCCTTCCTCAAGCAGGCTGGATTATATCTATTTGATTTATACACTGTGACTTTTTCCTGCTGTTTTCCATCAACCTTAATTGTGAAAAATGGTGCCATGCTGCCCTCTTGATATTATTTTGGGATCAGTTAGGTCTTAAAGCATCCAGATGCATACAGTTCTACACATATCTATAGAATTAGCTCACTAAGGTCTGCTTGGCAATATTTTTAATTGACTTACATGTTCTGTGGGAAAAGAAGAATCATAAAAAGTCTTTGCAGTTGCATTCCTCTCTTCACCGGGCTCTCCCTTGGGATCTGGATGGATAGTGGAGTTATTCAAAGTGTCAGCAACTCTGTTAATGCTGGTAGTATCTGCTTGACAAAAAGGAAATGGCAACAACTGAATTTTATTCTCCAGGCACTCATTAGTGGCTGAACTTGTTTTACTCTGATTCTGTGCTTTTGTATTTATAAAGTAACAATTTCTATTTTCTTTTTCACTTTGATCTTTTATAGCTTTCATAGACTTTGCTCTTACATTAAACATTTCATTTCAGAAAACTAAGTTTTATTATTGCTACTTTCTAAAACCTGATTTCACATTAAAACGAGTGAAATGGTATAAACATCTTATAAAACAAAATGTTATCCTTATTCCCCAGTTACTACATTGCCTGTACATGTAAACATTTATATAGTGAACATCTTAACAATTCAGATTAAAAGAAATTGGCCATAAGTAAGATACCCAACAAAGGGCTGTCCAGTATTTAATAAACATAAAAGTAATGTAGAGAAACATGCCTACTTCGAAGTTTAAAAAATATTTAAACTTTTATGAGTTTGAGGACTTTGCAAGTTGAATTTTTATAGAATTTCAGACATCTCCCTTTCCATTCTTACTATTTATATCACTGAAATTTAATTTAGAAGAAAAGAACTTGATAAAATAGTCAACATTAGTCCTGATCCTTGACTAATAACACTTGATTAACCATAGCACTTGAATGATAAGATTAATGGAATCTGAACTTAATACATTTTATTAGGGAAAAAAAAATTTGTGAAATGAGGTTTTTCAGTGCTTTGGTGTTTCTATTTTGTTTTTTCCCCTGCATCTCCATTCATGCTAGTAAGCAATAAGTATTTTGCTTTTAGTTCCCAGTTTTTCTCTCAAGTTTTCTCTTTCCTTTTAAAAGAAGCCTGTTAAAGTCAGGGCCACGCAAAGCTGTCCTTACCTACATTTCTTTTAATGTGTCTAACTGCATATTCCTAAATAGGCAAAGTCCCTTAAAATCTAAATATTTAACAATGTAAACAACTTTGATTAAGAGACTGCAAATGGCAAAGTAAACATTTCCCTCATGATCATACTTCTTAAACTATTTCTCATTATCTCCAAGTTATGTTTATACAGCATCTACACGTTAATATGAAAAAATTCAAGTACTCCCAATTTTAGAGTATGAATCTCAAGTACCCATTATTCAGCTTCAATATCCATTAATATTACTTCATATGACTTTTATCCATTTACCTTTCCCCCTATTTTTCTATTGTGTATTTTTAAAGCAAAATTTGGACATTGTTATTTCATGTGGTAGTTTTAATACAATAGTCCGAAATATTTAGCATTTTAGTGAATTAGTAATATAGGTACATAATATTAAGGGGTTCAATTTAAGGTGTTTCAATGACAAATAACAATGATATGAAATGTAATCATACTATACCTTGAGATTGTCAAAAGCTGGATTTGTGGTGCTGGTGAAGGGACAGATAAAATAGAAAAATAAAGAGGGAGAAAACTGGGGGAAGAAAGTGACAAAAGGTGGTTCTGAGGGGGAGAGGTAGTGATTTTTCTGGTGTGTTTGTGTGTGTGTGTGTGTGTGTGTGTGTGTGTGTGTCAGGAATAAACATGACACTGGAAGAAGCCTTATCAACTTTTCAGCATTTGCTCTAGAAAGTAAAGACCTCAGATGAAGTAGCAGTTCCTAATTTAAAATTAGTCGCCTGGACCTGTGGTTTTTATTATTTTCAGTTCCTTGATTCTTTTTTTTAATTTCCAAAATGCAATTGTGTCTCAGTATATGTTGACAAAACTGGTTCAGATTTAGGTGAAAAATCCACTTTCATCTAAATAAAGCCTTTTTACTATGTAGGGAGTATTTTAGGTTTAGAAAAAAAATAAATACTAACATTTTTTCATGTTGAACATAATCTGGAGAATTTTTACCAATAATACTAAACAGAAATAACAAATTTTAAAAGTAAACATAAAGCTTGTTTTCTTACCTGGCCCAATATCCTTCCTGACATCATCCACACACACATTTTTACAAAGTGTCATAGAAACAATCTTTTCGTTTTCTGAGGGGCCTATTGGTCTCTTGTTCAGCAACAAGGGAATGCCAGGAGTTGAAGTGCTCACTGTTTGACTTTCATTTTGATTTACTTTTAACCAAGAACTGGGGTCTAAAAAATTCACATATACTGGCGTTTTCTCAGCTTTTTTATCCGAAGTTGAAAGATCAAAGGCTGACTTTCCACTTCTGTTTACTAAATCTCCAGATGGCTTGATGTGAAATGAACATGATTCTTCCAGCTGTCCTTCACTGTAAATTTTTCCTAAAACGATGTCATTTAACGACTCTGTTTTTTCAGTATTATTTAACAATGTATGCTGTCTTTCATTAACATCCACAAACAGGGAAAGGCCATTTTTTGAAGCTTCAGTTAACTGATTCTCATCAATGTGACTCTCTTTATTGGAAAACTGCATTTCTGTGGAAGTTTTCATGTGAACAGCAGTTTTCATATCTTTGGCTTGTGAAATATGTATATTCTCATTGTTAACTTGAAGATGAGAAGTGTTCATGCTGTTTTCGAAATCTCCCAAACAGTTCATAAATGGACTTCGTCTGTCATTCAGATTTTTACATACAGCTCTTTTCCCAGGGCTTGAGTTTGGTTTCACCAATATAGGCATCATATTAACATTTTTATCTGAATTCTTAAGAAATGCTTTCAAATTATCACTGAAAACTGCAGATGAAATGGGGCGTTCAAGTGCAACGTCATAGGGAATAGTTAGTCCAGGTTTCTCTGAAGTGTCCTTACAGATTTGCTGAACATCTGAAGTTTGTTTAGATGGCGGTGTGCTGCACTCACTTTTTTTATTTACCAGTTGTATTTGTTCTATTTTATATGGTTTATCATCTAATATAACATTACTTGAGTCATGTAAATTGTATTTTTGACACTGAACAGGATTCTTTTTTATATCCAGAGATGAATCCAAATCTGTTTTGGTGTGGTCACTGTTTGTAATTTTCTTCTTTGTGGCATTTTCTTGCGTCTCTGGAAGCAATCTAAACTGTTGTTCAGAAACATCTTTTTTATGATTTGTACTGTGAGCCATCTCATTTAAGACACTGTTAAATGATATTCTGTTACTTTCAACCTCCAGATGTAAATCTGCATGGTGAACATCGAATCCTTCAGTTTTTTCTAAGTGTGTGCTCTCTGTCTCTATTGATATACCTGCCTCTAAAAAATAATTATTTGGTGATTTAAATTCTGTAGATTCATTGTCTCTTTCCAAGCCTACCTTGTCTTTTATTTCTGTAGTAGCTGCTTTTCTAAAGTCGGTAACATTCAAGGTTTGTCCTTGACTGATTAATTCTTTTTCTATGCAGAGGGTTTTGCTTATAGAGA